CTCGGCGTGGCCCGAGGCGCTGCCTGCAGCTGCCTCCTCCTCCTCCGCCTCCTCCGCCCCTCCGGCTCCCGCTGCTGCCTCCTCCTCGCCCGCCCCGAGAGTCCAGGAGCCAACGTCACCGAGCAGCCCCCGAGCGTCGAACAGGCCTGCTCCCTCGCGTCTCCTCGGCCGCAGACGGGCCTCTCCTGGGAGGAGGGAGCGAGACACTCGGTGAGAGGAGGGGGGGGTGGGGCTCGAGAGGGCCCGCGAGGGGGTCGAGAGAGACCCGACAGCCCACAGCAGGGCCCTGGAGGACCACGCTGTGGCGCAGAGGGGCATCAGTTGGGGCCCGGCGCGGGGCAGCAGAAACCACCCTGGGGCTGCCAGGTGGCTCCCAGGAGGGCTCTCAGAGGCCCCGAAGTGGCCCCCAGGGTGCCGTCCACCTGTCCTGTCCCTTCATAGCCGCACAAGCACCGGCGCCTCTTGACTTCCCATCTGCTCGGCACGTGGCCTTCAGCAACCCGCAGACTACGGAGCAAGAAAGTAGCCCCAGAGCCGCGGATCGTACTGCTCTCCTCTTGTCGCAGGGCGGTCGACTGTGCGCCCAGGGGAGCTGCGGAGCGAAATTGGGATGTCTGGCTACAGCTAGCTGCTGTTGCGCTGACCGCACTGTGGCACCTGCGCGCTCGGACGCAGAGCAACCGATCGGCTGTGACAGAGTACAGCCTGCACGCAAGAAAAACGGCACTTCAACACGACAACATCTGAAGGCGGGTGTTCGGAACTCCGAGCTAGGAATGCGGGATCAGCCGCAAGGGAAACGACACATCAGACAAGGTACAATATGTCCGTGCATGACCGGCGCCAAGCCCTGGTCTGCTTGCCACGAAGCGATCGCATGGGGTCCAGCGTCCCCTGGACTCAGTAGCAGAACTGCGGAGACTAACCTGCCCACGATTCCAAGGGCTGGGCGGGAAGAACGCTGGCACAACCAGCGCAGGGGGTGTCCAAAAGTGTGTGCAGCTATCAAAACTGACTATGAACTCCCTCTGCGGTGCCTTTGAGCATTGGAAGTCGCTGTCATGCGGTTGGTGAGGAAGTCATGTGAGGAGAAAGGAAAGAACACGAATGGCCTGGGAGAATCCAATCGTGGACATTTGTGTATGCCGATGCGACTGCCAACATAAGCCGTAGACAAATTTGAGATCGGTCGGCTGGCCACAGCCCGTCTCTTCCTCCACCTCCTCCAGCCGATTTTCCTCCTTTTCGGGAGCGGCCAAGAGGGGGGTGTCCAAGAGGGGGGTGCAAATCATGGCCGGCCAGGGACGTAATGAAATGAGAAGAGGCGTCATGAGATCTGGGGAAATATCATGGCCCACGCCATGATCTCCCCCCCCCCCTAGTCATCCCCCCCCTCTTTTCCGCCCCCGACCTTTTTAACCCTGGCGGGAGGCATGTGAAAATCCGGGCAAACTCACCACATGCTGGCCTCCGACGCGTGCAGCCAGACTGGGCGGTCCGTCCTCGCCCCCGGACGGGGCGCGCGCTCCGCCGCCGAGAGTGGCCGTGCCGACGCCGCGGGGCGGGGCGGGCGCTGGCTGCCCCGGGGTCTGAAGGGCAGTGGGCGAGGCAAGCTCACGGCTCCAGAGAGCGAGTTTGGAGGCCTGGACATTGGCACCGACACCGGCACAGGGGTTTGCCTCCACGAGGGGAAGATGCTCCTAGATTTCGGTGTTGGTGGTAATACTTCGGTCACTTTGGAAGCGAGAATATTACCACCATCACCGAGATCGGGATCGTCTTCCCTCGGTGGACGCACACCGCCGATCTTGGTGTTGGTGTCAACCTCTAGGCCTGCGACGAGTCCGTGCATTCTGCAGGGTGCAGCCTGTGCGGTGCAGCCTGCACGTGGGCGACGATCGGAAACGGGTATGACGCGAGATGGCACAGCGACCTTACGCCGCGGCTTACGCGGGCCGCCAACGCGGCACGCTACGCTGCAAGCGGGCGCGCTCACTCCAAATCCCTTGTTAATCGCCCCCCGGGTCCGGTTTTTAAAGGCGCCTTTTTTGTAACTGGGGGGGTCCCGGTTTATCAGGGCGCTTTCTTTGGATTGGAGCTTGGTGGGTCCGGTTTCTTAAGGCACCCCGTCGAAGAGGGGGGTCCGGAACATGAGGTCGCATTTGTAGGGGGGTCCGTTTTTTTGGGGGGGGGGGGGGTCGATCAAGAAGGGATCTGGTGTGCGCGCGACCTTACGCGAGCAGCTCACGCGCAGCTGTCGGCGCCATCGAGCCCGTTCTCTTGCGTCGCTCGCGGCGTGTGTGCGCCAGGGTCCGGGGCCCCCCTCCCATGGGCATGGTGTCCCCGCCATGATGGTGGGTGGGGGGCTGAGGGCGGGCGGGATGGGACGGGGGCCATGTGGAGGAGGAGGAGGAGGAGGAATCATCATGATCATGATCAGGATCAGGATCATGATCATGATCATGATCATGATCATGATCATGATCATGATCATCATCATCATCAGCATCAGCATCAGCATCAGCATCATCATCACCATCACCATCATCAGCATCAGCATCAGCATCAGCATCAGCATCAGCATCAGCATCAGCATCATCATCATCATCATCATCATCATTATCAGCATCATCATCAACACCATCATCATCATCATCAACATCACCATTATCATCTTCATCAGCATCATCATCAGCATCAGCATCATCATCATCATCATCATCATCATCATCATCATCATCATCATCATCATCATCATCATCATCATTATCAGCATCATCATCAACACCATCATCATCATCATCATCATCAGCATCATCATTAACATCATCATCAGCATCATCATTAATATCAATATCATCAGCATCATCATCAACATCAGCATCAGCATTATCACCATCACCACCGTCATCATCATCATTACCATATCATCGTAGTTTCCCCCAACAATCCTGTGGTGAGTTGGGTCCTAGTTTTGAATCAGCAGGGCCCCGCGTCGCACTCACTCCTCCTTTCTCCTTCCCCTCTTCCTCCGCTGGTTCGCATACCTTATCCACACAATTTCGGCGCACTCCTCGCACGTCACGTGGTCCCACAGGGAGCTTCACCTGAGGCCCCAGTCTCAAGGTCCACAAACCTGGTCCACACCATTTCGGCGCACCCCTCACTCGTTTCGTGGCCCCATATAGGGAGCTCCACCTACAGCCCCAACCTTAGGGTCCGTATCCCTGGTTCACACACTGTCGGCACACCCCTCACACGTTTCGTGGACCCATATGGGTACTGCACATAAGGCCCCAGTCTCAAGGTCCACATACCTGGTCCACACCATTTCGACGCACCCCTCACATGTTCCGTGGCTCCACAAGAAGCTTCACCTAAGACCCCAGTCTCCAGGCCCGCATACCTGGTCCACACCATTTCGGCGCACCTCTCACAGATGTCGTGGGTATGAAGCTCTACCTAAGGCCCCAACCTCAAAGTCCACATACTTGGTCCACACCGTTTCGGCACACTCATCACACGTTCCGTGGCCCCAGAGGGAGCTCCATCGAAGGCCTCGGCAAGGTCTGCATACCTGGTCCACATCATTTCGGCGCACCCTTTACACGTTTCGTGGGTAGGGAGCTCTGCCTGAGGCCCCAACCTCAGGGTTCACATATCTGGTGCACACGATTTCGACAAACCTATCACACGTTTCGTGGCCCCATAGGTAGCTCCACCGAATGCAACCTCAAAATCCGCATACCTGGACAACACCATGCCGGCACACCACTCACACGTTTCATGGCCTCATAGGGAGCGAACTCCACCTGAGGCCCCAATCTCAGGGTCCGCGTACCTTGTCCACACCATTTCGGCACCCCCTTCACACGCTTCGTGGTCCCATAGGGAGCTCCACCTAAAGCCCCAATCCGACAATCCACATACCTGTTCCACACCATTCCGGCACACCCCTCACACGCTCAATGGCCCCATAAGGAGCTCCATCGAAAGTCCTAAGGGCAAGACTCGCATGCATGACCGAACCCATGTCGGCACATTCCGTTTCGTGGCTCCACCTGGAGCTCTACCTAAGGCCCCGCCGTCTTCTGTCTCCCTGGGCTGCGCCTGCAGACGCGAAGATCATCCACAACTGATTGCATTCAAATGCACCCATTACGGCTCCCCTCTGCGACCCTATCAGCGATGTCGCTTCGCCCTTCCCACGCACGCCTCAGTCTTTTTCCTGGCCCCTTCCCTTGGTGTCCACCTGTCTTGCGGTACTCACAGCTGCAATTGATTGGGCCCCTTGCCAAGATCTCTTTGTGCGTTTCAGGGGCCTCTTGGGGGTGCTCTTGGGGCCGTCTTCGGGCGTCTGGTGGGTGTGTGGGGGGGGGCCGCTTGGGGCGCTCGTGGGGCAATTTGGGCGCCCTCCTGACCGTTTTGGGCTCGCTGGCTAGGCCTGGTAGGGACGTCCAAGAGGCCTGGACGTCCTTGGAGATCCTCTGCAAGGAGGGCCTGTTTCTGGGGAAAGTAGACGTCGCGGGGTTTCGGATCAATACGAATGAATATATGAGACGGACTCGACTTGACTTGTATAATGCGTACTAGTGTATTTCGATGTGGTTGTCAACGTATCGCGTTTACTTGGAGATGCAACTTCGGCTTCCTATGTATACACAACCCGCCGCGCAACCCTACGCGCCACCTACAATCCGTAATCCACCACGTAACCAATCTCGCAACCCACGCACGAACAAACGCGCAACCCAACAGACACTGAGCAACCACCGCGCAGCCACTACACGCCGACCCCCCCCCGCGCAACCTCGGCGAGAACGGCTGGATCGCAGCAGCCAAGGCCATCTCCTTACAGCCCGAGTGATAAGCCCGTAAACACAAGCACGTATCAGGGAATGAGCACGCCCGTGTGCAAGCCATCGCTTTTGCGTGCATGCCGCACACACTGTCGTGCTTGCCAGCTCCATCCAGCGCGCTTTCTGGAAGGTTCCTCGTTGCTACTCCTCTGTGGACATTTGGCACAGAGAAGGAGCACGTATCGATTCTGGGCCAGTCCCTCTGCATGACGCGTCAGGCACTGGCACCTGCTTGGGGTCGCCCGAAATGTCATCAGCCCCGTCTTTGTCAGCGGCGATCGCGATGCACGCGACGTCTTTGCAGGCTGAGGCGGAGGCAGGTGCCATCCCTGGCTGGATGCCCAGCAGCCTCTGGTATAGCTTGTCCTGCCTCCTCAGGCACGACAGCAAGTCCAGGCTCCTCGCCCCTCCCTTCAACTTCGACACCCCTTCAACCAACTCGCAGACGCTCAGTCTGCCGTCCCCGTTTGCGTCGATGAGGTCGAACAGGGCGTCCCCGTCCGCAGCGTCAAGCCCCATGGACAGCAACCAAATTTTGACCTCCGCGTTCTGCGTCAGCTCTAGGAACTCCTCCCTGCACAAACACCCGTCGCCATCGGCGTCCCCAGCTTGAAAGAGCCGCTCCATCTTGGCCTTGTGAGTGCGCGACGCCGTCTCCCTCTGGTGCATCATGATGAAGTCGTCCTCTGCAGCAGTCCTGAAGGTCTCCTGGATGAACACGCCATTAATTATCCCACACGCCCGCTGGACGTAGATGGTTTCACGAGATCGTTCTTCCACCCCCCTTCTTCCCCTTCGGGAAGGAGCTGATCACTGCTCCTCATTAGCATGCACGCCCTCCCGAACTCGACAAGCGCCCGACCATGATCAATTCCCCCCAAATCGTCCTGCTCGCCATCGCTCGGACGTCTATTTCCTGTGTTTTTTTCGGTTTCGTGCGTGGCTTTTTCGCCAAATGATCAAGGATGCTCCTCGATGGTCCTCGCCGAAGGAAGAATGCACACGTCCGAGCGATGCCAAGCCCTGTAAAAGCACGGTGCGGAGCGAACACTGCGGCAACACCTGCATATCATGCTCGGGCGCCCCGCGACCACGCTGCAGCATCCTCTGACAGGGAAGGCGGGGGGGGGGAATTGGGAGGTGCTCGGCATGTTGCCCGATGTGTGCTGTGACGTGCGCTGGCGCACTTGGCGCACTCTGCGCGCGACGCGCCCTTGGCGCCTCCTCCTCCTCCTCCTCCTCCTCCTCCACCTCCTCCTCTCCTCCTCCTCCCTCCTCGTCCTCCTCCGCCTCTCCTCCTACTCCTCCTACTCCTCCTCCTCCTCCCTCCCTCCTCCTCATCCTCCCCTCCCCCTCCTCCCTCTCCCCCTCCTCCTCCTCCTCTCCTCCTCCTCTCCTCTCCTCCTCCTCCTCCTTTACTCCTCCTCCCTCCTCATTCCTCCTCCTCCCTCCTCCCTCCTCCCTCCTCCCTCCTCCCTCCCCCCCTCCTTTCCCTCCCCCTCCTCCCCTCCTCCCTCCTCCCTCCTCCACTCCCTCCCCCTCCCTCCTCCCTCCTCCCTCATCCCTACTTCCCCGCATCCCTCCTCCCTCCCCCTCCTCCCTCCCCCCTCCTGGTAACCTCCCTCCTCCCTCTTGCCCGATGTGTGCTATGACGTGCGCTGGCGCACTTGGCGCACTCTGCGCGCGACGCGCACGTGGCGCATCCGGCGCTGGTGTCGCCCGGCGCACCAGGCGCGCCTGGCACGGTTGGGCCCATGGGGCTCCTGGCGCACCCGGTGCGCGCGGCGCACCCGGCGTGCGCTGCGCACCTCGCGCGGGCGTCGCGCAGCACTGGCCCCGCAGTCCCTGCCTATGCTGAGACTCGGGCGCTAGCTCTGTGATGGGAGGGCTGGTTGGAACCAGCGAGGCAACTTGCGGCGTTTCCGCTGGAAACTTCACCCTTCCGCCTACCCCCTCCACTGGGGTTGGACGGACACTTTCGCGCCGCATTGGACCCCCTCCCCTCCTCTTCCGCCCCTTCCCCCCGAGGGGACACTCCGCCCCCTCCCCTCTCCCCGCCCCCCCTCCAGTAGCCCCTCCACTCCCCTCCACATCTCGTGTGGGCATCGTTTCTGGATGAGCCTGTGGGGATATGCGAAGCGTTGAGAATTCCGACGACGGCGAAACCAACTGTGAGCTTGTGAAACAAACAGGCCACCATGAACCACTCGCTCACGTTCTCCATCAACAGTCTGCAGACCGGAGGCCAATTCGCAAGCGCCATCTCGAAGGTGCTGAGCAACGCACGGGAGAAGCTGCCGAAATACTCGAAGACTTCCCTCCGCTCATCCAGCGGCTTGTGGAGGTCTTTGAAATCTGCCGACCCCTGGGTGCCAAGTGAGAGCAGGCGCGTGAGACACGTGAGCGTCGGAAAAAAGGTCTTCCGCGAGAAGGCATACCGACCTCACGTCGTGGCTCACGCGGGCCGCCAACCTGGCACGCCGTGCGGGGAAGCCTGGTGGGCCTCACGCGCGGCCCTGCGCGGGAAACCTGCGGGCGGATCTCGGTGCAGTCGACCCAGTCTTCTTCTGTCGCTCGTTTGGCTGCCCACTTGGGGGTCCAAGCGCCTGTCAGGGGGGGAAGCGGCGGGGGGGGGGGAAACGATCGGCGAGCCAAAGGTCCCGATTTGCATGGAAAAACGGTTTTAGAAACATGCGACTTGCGCCAGGACAACATATTCCAAGCTCTGGGGGCGCGACCCGTGTGAGGGGTGTGCCAGCATTGGCCATGCAACCCACCAGCCAGCCAGCCAACCAAGCAAGCAACCAACCAGGCAATCCACCAACCAACTGCTCGGTTTACCTGGCAGATGACCCGGCGACTGAACGACGACGACGGCGGCGACGACACCGACCGCGGCGACGGCGACGAGGACGACGGAATGGAATAGGATGGAATTGGAATAATAATATGGTTACGATGGAACGGACTGGATCGAAGTGCAGTGCATGAGTACGGGATAGAACGGAGAAGGTAGAACGGAACGGCACGATCGCAAGAGTACCGACAAGCGGCGGTGGCTCTCTTCCGATCCATTTCGTTCCATTCCAATCCATTCCGTCCCATCCCGCCGCATCGAATCCCAGCCCATCCCATCCCATTAGATTCCGTCGTCCGTCGTCGTTGTCGTCGTTGTCGTCGTTGTCTTCGTCGTCGTCGTCGTCGTCGTCGTCGTCGTCGTCGTCCGTCGTCCGTCGTCGTCGTCGTCGTCGTCGTCGTCGTCGTCGTCGTCGTCGTCGTCGCCGCCGCCGCCGCCGCCGTCGCCGTCGCCGTCGCCGTCGCCGTCGCCGTCGCCGTCGTCGTCGTCGTCGTCGTCGTCGTCGTCGTCGTCTTCGTCCGCTGCGATGCCATGTGTGGCACATCGACTTTGTTATTCGCCTCCGCGGTGCTGCCAACTTGAGTGCACTAGCGCAGCTGTTTTTTGCCTCCACGGCGTTGACACGTGGCCAATAGAACTGGAAGGTTTGTCGCCCCGTCGCTTCCAGGTGGCGAATAAGAATATACAGGGCAGGTTTTAATACATAGGATTTTTAATACATGGGATTTTTGATACATGATTAATGTACTGATAAATCAATGCATCAATTCATCATTGTTTTTAATACTGAATCCCTTTATTCTTAATGTATGATCCGCACGCGGAGCATGTATTAAAACCGGCGCTGTGCTCGAATTTCGTATTCCGCCGCCCGCGGCGTTGCCGCGTGAGGGTGCAGTGGACTCTTGCTGTCTGGCTCCCAGGCGTTGCCACGTGGCGAGTGGAGCGGATTTTGTATGTCTCTCGACCCCGCTGCGTTGCCACGTGACGCGACGTGCCGAATATGGTAGCATTAAATTTGTTTGCCCCACCCCCCCCTCCCTCCCACCCCCTGCGTTGTCACGCAACGGACGCTGCGTGCCATGACTCAATCGCGTTTTTCTGCTCCCCTGCATTGTCATGCGACGCTTGGGGAATGTATATTGATATGTTCGAAGCCCCTTTACATTGCTACGTGTCGTATAGCGCATAATTGACTGTGTTTTCCCTCTCTACGCTGTCATGTGGCGATTCGAGTGGGATATGTTTGTTCCCCCCCTGCGTTGCCACGTGACGAATCAAGAATAATCATATTTATCTCGCCCCCCCCCCCCTCCGTTGCCACGTGGCGACCAACGTGAAATCGTGTTTTGCCCGCCCCCCCTGCACGACCAAGTGACGAACCAAGCAGAACAGCATGTTGTCAGCTCCTCTGCGTTGCCAAGTGACGTGTAGCGGAGATCCGTACATGTTTTGCCACTCTATGCTGCGACGTGGCGGCTAGAGTGGGATTGCTGTGTTTCGCCCCCCCCCCCCCCCCTTCGTTGCCGCGCGGCGAAGCACGCAGAAGGATGCTTTGTCTAGCCCTCAGGCGTTGCCGCGCGGCAGGCGCAGGTGGAGTCCATGCTGTTCTGCCCGCTGGCTTTGCCGCGCGGCAGGCACGATGAGCCAATATGTTCTCCGCTCCGGCGTTGCCGCACGACATGCGGCGCAGGTCTGTGCGTGTTTCGATCCCCTGGGCTGCGTCGGACAAAAATCGTCAAACGGGTCCAGCCAGCCAACCCACCAACCAACCGCCCAACCAACCAACCAGCCAGCCAGCCAACCAACCAACCAACCGGCCAACCAACCAATTAACCAATCCGCCGGCCAATCACTCAACCAAACGACCAATCAAACAACAAATCAAGCAACCAACCAACCAACCAAACAACCAGCAACTGCCCAACCAACCAACCAATCAACCAACCAATCGGGCAAGCATCAAACCAAACAACCCGCCAACCAACCAACCAACCAACCTGCCAACATTTTCTGAGGATGTCTCACATGGAGGGCCCAGGAATGAATTTTCAAGCGGTAGTATTTTTCCAACGCTGACAGGACCATTTGTAAAATCCGAACGTGAGAACAAATTTTAACCCTGCTCTCCCACAAGACGGCCTCAAGAGGCACACAGGCACACATCACATGCTAAAAACGAATTTCGCGTCCTCGCCACTTCGGGTTTCTGAAAACCCGTGATGTCCCGAGAAACCCTCCAGACAGGGCCCAAGACGGCCGAAATATATACGCAAGAGGGTCCCAAGACTGCCCAAGAGGCCCCAAAGACGGCAGAACAGTTCGACCTCGTGGGGGCCCGGGGGGCCCTCCTCTACACGATGGCCCCCGGGACACCCAACATGCACCCCAGAAGCCCTCAGAGGGTCCAACAAATCCCCCAGGAGCCCTGAACAGGTGGCCTCCTCCTCCTCCTCCTCCTCCTCCTCTGCCTCCTCCTCCTCCTCTTCCTGCTCCTCTTCCTCCTCCTCCTCTTCCTGCTCCTCTTCCTCCTCGTTCTCCTCCTCCTCCTGAACAGACGCGGAGACAAAGGACGACAAATTGGCAACAACTGCGCGCAGGCAGCACAGCGTGGAGCGGCAAACAGAAGATTTTCAAATCGGAAGATGCACGTCTCCTCTTCTGGGGGTCGACGGACTGGCGTACGCCTCTCGAGTAGAATTCGGCCAAAATCTGGTTGAAGGAGAAAGCGACCAGCGCCTGGATGATGAATAGCAACGCGCAAGACCACGCAAGGACGTACATGCTGCTTTGGAGGGCAGTCGTCATGAGGAAGAGCGTGTCGAAACCGTGCATCTGCCTAAGCACCCGCATCAACCGCAACAAACGGGCCAGCCGGGCCAACCGGAGGGCGGTGGTTTCTGCCAGGCTGCCGTTTTCCGCGGCCGAAGCCTCGACAAGGAAGCAGAGGACCACGAAGAGGTCGAACAAGTTCCAGCAGGACCTGAAGAACTTCTTGCGCAAGACGACGATCTTGAGGGACACCTCGCATGTGAAGACGATGCCGAAAAAAGTGCCAAGCACATTCAATACGCGCTCTGCCCCAGGCCAAGGACTTGGACTGTCAGCGTAGTCGCCGTATCCGAGGTCATGACCGCGAATGAGCCCTGAATGCTGCACCTCGAAGGCCATCTGCAAGCCGTTTAAAAGAATGAGCACGGCCATGACCGTCTCAAAGCGTGCGCCCTCGACAAACTGGGCCCACCTGCGCTGGAGGTCGCGCTCCTGCTCCTGGAAGAGGACGGTGTTGACTCGCTTCTGCATCTGCTGGGATAGGCCCTTTTCCTCCGAGGAGCGAAGCATGGTATCAACATTATTTCTTGGAAGTCCGCGTGGATTTCCCGCAACAGCACTTGGACACCCCCTCCCGGGCGCGCGGAGCGCGTCAGTGAGGGGCGGCGCCGGAGGCGCCGCCAGGGAGGCCCAGCGCCGATCCGAGGAATCCGCGCGGAGCTCCGAAGGCTGATGCTTCTGCAGTCTGTCATGAGGGGAAAAACACACACAGACACAATTAATCGTCGATTCCCCAGAAAATATGGGAAAATATGGGAAGTGGGGGGGAAGACAAAAACCCAGAAAATATGCGAAAATATGGGGGATATTCTTTTATTTGTGTGTATTTATTTGTGTCCTGGGGCCCCTTTAATCTGTGCCATGCGATTCCTGCACCGTGCTCTCCCTGCTGCACTCGGCAGCTGGCCCGGCGCCGCCCTCCCCGTCGGCGCCGTCGGCCGCGGGGGCGACGCGGCGGGCCGCGAACTGCTGCAGCGCCACCTGTGGAGCCACGGGCGCGCGGCTCTGGCTCGTGGCGCGCAGCGTGCCGCCGGTGCGGAAGGAGGAACAGGCCGCGCGGGCGTCGGCTTTCTCGAAGGCCCGCGCGGCCGCTCGGAGCGGCGCGGGGGCTCTCCCCGGCCCGGCCCGTGGGCGAAGACGTCTCCGCATCCGCGGCCTCGTGGGCCGGGCCCCTGGGCCGCGGCCCCGCGGCGTCGGGCACTCTTTTTGTTCGTGGATGCCTCGCGCGCAGGGCATCCGCGCGACCGCGCAGCAGTGGGATCGACCGCGAGGGCGTGGAGATGGATACGCTCGCCGCTCGCGACCGGCGCGCGGGCGGCGCTTTTGGCGCCGCTGGGGGTGTGTTGGGGGGGGGGTGGTCCCCGCGCCGACCCGAGAAACCCGCGCGGAGCATCGAAAGTTCACGCCTGCGCCGTCCTTTCCTCTTCGGCCTGGTTCGGCGACTCCGAAGGGCGTGGCTTGCAAAGGGTGCAGGTTTGAAAACCCGCACCCTGGGGGCCTCGGCAGAGTTCTCCGTCGCGCCCCGAGGAGGCCGAGCGAGGGCAACCTGGTGCCCCCCAAGCCCCAGCGCGAGGGGTAACGATAGGAGGTATAGGCATGGGGGGGTGCACTGACCTCGAATGGCCGACGCAGCGCTCAGGCATCCTTGGCAGACCAAGCGTGTACACACGAGTTGGGCAGAGCGCCCTGCTAACAACGATGTATCGTGGATGCGTCGATGTATCAGCCATTCGAGGTCGATGCATCTCCATCTATGCCTATCACCCCCGTCATTGTCTCTGACGAAGATGCAGATCTAGGAGCAAAACACGGTATAAACAAAAATTCTCGGAGATCCGCGCGGATTTCTTGGATCAACGTTGGACCCCCTCCCTGGCGCGCTCCGCGCGCCAGGGGCGGCGGCGCTGGAGGCGCCGCCAGGGGGCCCAACGCCGATCCAAGAAATCCGATCGGAGCTCCAAAAGTGTCCAAAAATTTATGCCTATGCCGTTTTGCTATTCCTCGACCTCTGTCCATCCCCCCCTATCGCTGCCCGCGACAATGACGCAGCAGAACGCAGATGAGGGGCAACGGCAGGGGTGGACTGGCATGGGGGAGGGGACCTCGACCTGGAACTGGGAGGAGGAGGAGGAGGAGGAGGAGGAGGAGGAGGAGGAGGAGGAGGAGGAGGGGGATGATGATGATGATGATGATGATGATGATGATGATGATGATGATGATGCTGCTGCTGCTGCTGCTGCTGCTGCTGAGGAGGAGGAGGAGGAGGAGGAGGAGGAGGAGGAGAGGAGGAGGAGGAGGTGGAAGGAGGAGGTGGAAGGAGGGACCTCGGCATAGGGGGGGGGGCATACATCGCCGATAGATCGGCGATGGGCCCCCGGCAGTGAGCCCGCGCGCTCCTGGGCGGGCTGGGGCTGTGGGGCCACCATCGGCGTCCATGGGCCATGGGGGGTCGATGCGTCACCCATTGGGAGCTCTTCCAGGAACAGAAGCGAGAGGTGTCATATGTGAGGGCCTTCGCTGCCAGGTCGGGCAGGTCCCCATTCAGGCGGATCTTGGAGAAAAAATGAGAAAGAGCAAACAAATGCTCCCAAATGGCTAGGAATAATCGAAACGTTGTCCACAGACTAGTTTTGACTGTTTTCGACTTTTCCTGCTGTAGAGGGACGCGCACGCCTTAATGCCAGAAGCGTCTCCACGCAGAGTGCTGCGCTGGCGCGGGAATCACCCCCGAGCAGCTGGACTGCAGGAAGGCACGCGAAGCACAGGGTGCAGAGAAGGAGAAGGAGGAGGAGGAGGAGGAGGAGGAGGAGGAGGAGGAGGAGGAGGAGGAGGGGGAGGGGGAGGGTGTCGATCTTTCGATCTTGGAACGTGTTTAGTGTTCGCTCACTCCATAGCCATTTAGCTGCAGGCCTTCATCGCGGGGCCAGAGGGGTCCCGGGGGCCTTCAGAGGCCCCCCGTCTTTCTCCTACCTTCTATTCAATCGAGACCAATACCACACATCTCTCCCTCTCTCCACACTCCGTGTGCAGATATCGTGCTGGTGACGAGTACTGTGCGGTGCAGGCGGCGCTGCTGGAAAGAAGAACGTGCAGAGCTGCTTTGGAGGACAGCTCGAGGGACGAGGTGTATTTGACCCTGTGAAGCTTCGCTTCACATGGTAGCGGAGCAGGTTTCTGCTCCATGGAGAATGTTAATCAGAATATTCCTACGTGGAATGGTAGCGCTGCGACATGGGAGCGGTACCAACAAAATGTGATGAACTACGTGGACGGCACAAAGTGGGAGGACAGGTACCTGTGCGGCCCCAGGTTGGTGGCACGCCTGTCCGGGCCGGCGGCGACGGCGTGCATAGGTCGGCCGAGAGGCTGGCTTTCGTCCATGTGGGGTGCGGACAAGCTGCTGGAGCACCTGCAGCAGACGGTCATGAGGCAGCCCGTCGAGGACGTTGGCCACTACATGGAAGAGTACTTCGTGAAACTTCGCCGCCGGCGCGGCGAGGGTATGGCCGAGTATTGCTTGCGGGTACACGAGAGCTACCAACGGCTGCGAGTGGCGCTCGCCCGGATGATCGGCAAGACAGAGATCGTGAAGACACCAGCGACGACAGCGACGGCCTTCGACAAGTGGCCAGTGGACGCGGGGTCGGGTTCGTGGCATCGGATAGGTGGCGGTGAGGAGGGCACCGTTGCAGATGCTGAGCCTGACGAAGTCCGAGACTGGGAGGTCGAGGGAGGAGCTGATGGACAAGACTGGTGGCGGCACCAGCGCTGGTGGCAGGGCGGCTGGAACGACGGTCACTGGCAACAGCGCGGCTTCGACCGTGAGAGCCAGGGCACGTTCCCGACGCATGACCTGCCGGAGGTTCTCCCGAGCATCATCAGGGGCTGGTATCTACTTCACCGAGCGGGTCTGGACGGCGGTGAGATCGCGGCGGTCATCGGATCATGCAGGGGCGACTTCACCGTGGACAGCGTGAAGAGCGCGTTACGTACTCAGTGGCCCAGCGACGAGAACCTGAAGGACCGGGACTATAGGAAGTCAAAGTTCATCCGTCAGCAAGTGGCGGCAGCGGCGTTCTACGGCGAGGACGCTCAGACCTGGAACGGAGAGGAGGAGCGTGATCACGCTCTAGTGACATCGGTGGCGGAAGCTGAACAGGAGGAAGACGGGGATGAAGGTGACGATTCGGCTTTCGCTAATGCCATCGACGAGGAAGAAGAAGCTTTTGCCCAGTTCCAGGCCAGTCAGCGCAGGCTTCAAGAAGCCCGACAGCAGATCAACAAACACAGGACAGGACGGCGTTTCTTCAACAACAATGGCGCTTCTCGAAGTGATGGTCGTCAAGGACCCTGCCTGAAGTGCGGAGGAGCCCATCGTACGGGTGCGTGTCCGGACCGTGGAGATCCAAAGCTCGCTGGACGTGCACCTGGTCCCAGAGGACCCCCACAGCAGGGGGAGAAGTTCAATGGCCTGGTCCTGACGGCGGAGATCGTCGACGGAGATTGCGTCGACCTGAACAACAGTGTGGACTTAGATGACCCTGAGATCAAGATGGCCTACATCGTGTCGAGGACAACGGAGATGGGCCACGGAATCATGGACTCCGGAGCTACGAAGACCATCGGCGGCATCGAGGCGGTGGAGGCTTTGAATGAGCTGCTCATCGCGAGGGGTCATCCGCCGATGGAGGTGGACCTGACTGACCGCCCAGTGTACAAGTTCGGGAACGGCGAGGTGAAGCGGGTCCTCTGCCGGGTAAAGTTTAAGCTGCAAGTCAAGGGCGTGTATGTGTCTTTCCTGGTTCATGCGGTCGACGCTCCTGGGATTCCCATTTTGGTGTCCATTGAGACGCTGAGGCAGCTCGGAGCCGTGATCGACTTCGAGGCCGGCATCGGCGTCTTCAAGAGCATCGACCCGCACAGGATGATTTCTTTCCAGAGGTCCAGGACTGGCCACCTCCTGATCGACTTGACGTGCGATCTCCTGGGCGACGTCGGGGTCACCGACAGGCCGGGCGATTGCATCTTGAGCCGTGGCGTGGCTTCGCTTTCTAGCCAGGCGCCGCTCCCCGCGCTTGGAGACACTGTCGAGGAGGCGCCAGAGTTTGCGCCATGCATTCCTCCTCCACCTCCTCCATCAACTCATCACGTCGTGGCGACCGACAGTGACGGTACGGCAGAGACAGTACTGATGGCGACGGCGTCGTTGAATAGCAGGCCAGGCGAGGCTCAGGCTCCAAAATGGGCTCCGAGTGGGACCTCGAGGAGCTCTGCGGGAACCCGGTCTACTACATCCTGTTCGAGACGGGCAACTCTCGGGACCTCAAGGGTTGGTTCGAGGTCTAGTGGGGCCTGTCCTACGTCGTCGGGGCCCACGTCGTGTTCTCAGAAAACGTGTCTAGGATCCCAGAGGGCGGCCACTGGAACCCAGATAAGACCTACGGGAAGCCAAACGAGATCTCCAGAGACCC